TAGCAAATAATGTGGCGAACATTATAATTTTTTTTTTCAAATTCAAAACATCCAGGTATTTCCAAACAAGCCCCTACATTCAAGAGAAATTTAATTTCAAGAACGGTGGTGGAATTTCCAACCAAACCAGTTTAAAACCACGTCCCTGGTATCATGTCAGGAATACCCACAGGTGTTTAGCATACATGAATATAAACATGAGTAAATGTGACATCAACCACAGTCTAGCAATATTTAAGTTTACAATCTATAATCTTTTATACATGCCTTGAGATAAAGGATAAGAGGAAATACAACTCTTCACTTTCCTGAAACAAGTCCACGTCTCCAGTAGTAGCTACCTACTCCGCATTACTTCTGGCGTCGCCTGGAAGGGTTTAATACATTTGAAAACAGGGAAAGGTGAGCGAAAGGTCCAGTAGGATATAATTTTATAAAGCATTTAAAATAAAGGTACTCACGGTCCAAAGATATACACCCAGAACCGGTCATCCCTTTTTAGAAAAGGAAATACTCACATAGTAGAAAATATCTGTATCATGAAAGTGTGCAGCTTATCATACCACTAAACAAGAAGCGGTAAAAATGTCTGTCTAATGAAAAGTGCAGAGCCGTAATTCCACAAAACAAGAAGTGGATTCGTACGGGTTTTGGGACCTGCCCCCAAGGATACGATTCCTACATCCCGATCTCTGAGGCCACCATGAGTTGTATCATTCCTTAAAATATTTCATTTTAAGAAATGATACTCTTTAAAATCTCATTTCCAAAATCATTGGAAAACCTAATAGCATTCACATGCTATTTCTTTTAAAATCATTTACTTTAATCATGTTTTGTTCTAAAACGTTTTCATGGGCCAAAATCATTTAAAATGAGGCTAACAAGGATATGGACAAGAATATCCTACCTCTCAGATGTCAAACCTGGGCTAGCCTTCAGTTCTCCTAGCCTCCGCTTTCCTTAAAGCCTTAATACTTAACCTTCTCTACTAGCTTTATCACAAAAGCAATATCTTAGGAAGTATTTCTCATTCCTAAAACGAATTAAGTTCAATCATGTTTAATTGTTTCCTATTAGTGTGCCTTGACTCAAATCCAAGTTTCACAATGATTTTATAATTCAGTTTGGGGGTTCTTTAAAAATTAGAATCCAATCCATAGGTTTGGTTTTCCTATTTAATTTCAGTTTAAAAACAAGTTTCCAAAGAAATTTCGACAGCATGCCGACATAAATAGGAAAAATGCCAAACCTGCAATTCAAGTTCAATTTCAATATATATTCTCCAGAATCCATCAAAATCAATTTCTAATTAATTAAACAAGTCGAATAACTGAAAACTCCCAAATTTCATTCAATTCCAACAATAACTGTTCAAATCCAAACCCTAACTCAAAGTTATTCAAATTTAACAAAATCAAACTTTCTCAAGCTTAAAATTCAAATCAAAGAGTGAGTTTCAAAGGGTTTTACCTCAAATCAGTTGCTCGAGCTTTGTCTCCCTCAATTTCTCTGTTTTTCATTTTTTTTTCTTTGGTGGTTCTCGGCCAAACTGCTGAGAGAGAGAGGGAGAGAGAAACCCGGAGAGAGAGCAAGGGAGAGAGAGAGAACATCGGCGGGAGAAAGCCCGGAGAAGGTGGAGGTGGCCGGCGGTGGAAGGAAGAAAGAGAGAGAGATGGGCGCTGGTTAGTGAACTAGAGGAAGAAAGAAGAAAAAAGAAAAGAAAGAGAGAGAGAGAGGGGCTGGGCTGCACGGGAAGGGGAAAGGGGAAAAAGAAAAAAAAAGAAAAGAAAAAAAAAAGAAAAAGAAAAAGAAAAGAAAAAGAAAAAGAAAAATGGAAAAAAGGAAAATGTATTAAAATTTAAGTGTGTTTTCCAAAACTCTTTGGGGTGAAATTATAAATACTGAAAATAACTTAAAGTCCCTTAATTAATTGTGAAAATCAAATTAGGCACACTAATAATCCACAGTTTAGCATAATTAAACATGTTTAATTCTAAAGGGCGTTACATAACAACCCGAAGGGTTCGTATTTCTTGAAAATGAGAAGAATGTTTGCAAATTAGTAAAGTCACTTTACGGTTTAAAGCAAGCATCAAAACAGTGGCATGAGAAATTTGATAATGTCATTTTATCTCATGGTTTTGAGCATAATAATGCGGATAAATGCATATACTCTAAATTTACAAATAATTTTGGTGTGTTTATATGTTTATATGTTGATGACTTGCTTATCTTGGGAACAAACATGCAAGGGTAGATGATACCAACAAGTATCTAACTTCACAATCTAAGATGAAAGATCTTGGTGAGGTAGATAATATCTTAGGTGTAAAAGTGAGTAAACATAGTAGGGGTTACTCGTTTTGTCAATCTCATTATATTGAGAATGTGCTTCTTAAATTCAATCATTTAAAGTTTAAAGAAGCGAATACCTCATATGATTCTAGTATTAAATTACTAAAGAATGCAGGCCGAGCGGTGGCATAGTTTGAATATGCTAGTGCGATTAGTAGCTTGTAATGCGATAGTGAAGCTACTTTGTGTAGAGCTTATAACAAGGTTTATAATGAGAAGTCTAGACATATTAGCTTAAGACATGAATATGTAAAATAATTGATAACCGATGGTGTTATCAATATTGTTTATGTTAGGACAAACAAGAACCTAGCAGATCCTTTGACAAAAAGTCTTTCAAGAGACTTAGTCAAAGAAACATCTGGTGGAATGGGACTGAAACCTTTCTTTGAAAGAGTAACCGATGATGGTAACCCAACTATGTAGTAGTTGTACCGCTATTCCATAGTTAAATGGGTAAGAACAAGTCATTGTTGTGTGGCCGGCTTAGCACCGAAATTTAATTAGTCCCTTCCAAGATGTCGGTGTAAAATAGCGAAGTGACTGAGGTTGAGTTTATACTCTTAATGAAGTTCGAGCCTCATAGTAGCTAGAGATATAATTCGAAACTTCACCTAAGTGAACATAAGGAATAGTGCCGTTCCTAACAAGACCATGGTTTAGTCTTGTAAATGTTCATGAATCCAAGATAGAGCACAATGCCGGAATAGTGCTAAATGATTGGAACATATTTTTAAGTCTGGGATAACACATATGTGATATATTTCTAATATTTACTTAAGAGACAAAGTTTAATGCAAAGCACACTATTGTCTTGGGAATACTTTGAAGTATAGTCACTAATTGGAGATTAAAATCGAAAGATACCTTCATGTATGTGTGCGTTTATCATTGTTAATTATGGAGAAATATTACAATCTAGTGGGGGATTGTTAGAGATGTTGTAATATGTCTTGATCAAGATCATAAGTTGTTTGAGTGTTAACATATAAAAAACTCGTGTTAAAGGGACTTCAAAAGCGCTGCAGCGGGTTTATAAACGCTGCAGCGGACAAACTGCAAAAAATTGTGCATTTGGTTCGGCCAAACCGATTGTAGCCGAAATATTTGCGCTGCAGCGGAAATGTTTGCGCTGCATCAGAAAACTTTGCACTGCAGTGCCCTTGTGCAGGCCTCTCGGGTTTGTTTGCGCGCTGCAGCGGAAAAACACTCGCTGCAGCGAAAATTTTGAAAAAAAGAACAGTGTTTTCATGAGTTTATATGATCTGAAACGTTTCGAACCATTACATCTATTGATGATATGTTTTCATACATATATGAACACTTATTAGCAATAGATATAACTATTGTACTAGGTGTATTAATCCATAAAAAGATACCTTTACATTGAAAATATACTTTTATGTGAATGGTTGTAATGTTTACTATTATTTTATAAGGAGATTCTCTGGTACGCCTGACGTACCGGTAGGTCAGGTTTTTCTAACCGTTAGATTTGCATATTTTTTAATTTTTAAGTGATTTTATGCAAATCTGACAAACAAACTTGACCTATCAGCATGCTGGCGTACCGGAGCAAGGTCCCTCCACAAGTGGACCAATAATAGAATTGGCTTAAAAATAATGTTGAGGAGTTGAATGGTGCTTCTGTACCAATCAATGACAATGAGGTTGTTGTTCTTTTTTTTTTTTCCTCTTTTTCTTTTTCTTTTGGTAGAGCGATTTAAATGGACAACAACATGTGAATCCGCACATATGCAGAGTGGAGATCGAACAAGTTGTGGTGGTGAAAAGCCTGGCAGGTCAAGATGTCTAAAACTCAATCATGCATTCCCACACCGACCACCTTATGAGCCTACCGCCTACAAGAATAGCATCACAATAAAGTGTACCCAACCTCAAGCAACAAATTGTAATAGTAACAAAGTTAGAACATCTGGCCGAATTAAGTGATGTTCACAAAGTTTGATTCTTCCTACTGACTTGTATCATTTGCTAATAATTAAAGTTTTATAAGGAAACAAAATAGAATACTGCTTTCTTTGAGAACATTAGTTTATAAGTTTAAACAAAAATTTAAATTTTTGCAAGAAAACATCCTGCAAATCAAATGACACTTAACTGCCGGAACATTGTCACCAAAATGTTTTTGGTCAAGCCAACCAGTCAAAATGTATATTAGTTCAGAACAAGGTATTAAATCTTTTGCAGCACCAAAATCTTTAGCATAAGAACAATTACTGAAGTCATTGCCCACCATAAAGCATTCCACAAAAACCTCTTTTTAATGCTTCTCGGCTTTGCATTATTAGGGTTGAGCCTTCCTTGTGTCATGAACTGTTAACATATTGTTTTCTGTTATGCTTCAATTGTGAAGTTTCACAACAACCCTGAACTTATCCTAAATCGGGGTTTTTGATGAGGGGAAAAAAATTACACTTGCTATGAAAAAAATACCCTACCAATAGGGTTCTATTTGAGCTGTCAAAAATATAAAACTTCTTTCAGTTTTACATAATTTTTCATGTTGGTTTTACATATTTTTCCATGTTGAGGTCATTTTTACCGAATCGAATGTTTATGAACATATGATTATCCTACCGTAAGAAGGATCAAAAGAAAATTCACAACAGTACAGAAAATTTACAAAATAACCCATTTCATTAAATATTAAAGTAGTTGCAAAGTACAATTCAGAAGCAGTAGAAAACCATGCAAAACTACAGGACTAGGATGGAAAAAATAAAAACAACCCAAAACAAGGTTGTCATGGCAAACTGAAAATATGTGCCACCATCGAAGCCCATAATTCTGAGGATCCTACACTCAGGAACTGCTCAAAGCAACCTAAAACTAACAACAACGCTCATGAAAGGGAAAAAGACCTTCCCTACAACTACAAATCCCTGAAAAGACACTATTCGACTCTACTACGATCAACTGATTCAAACAACCAGGGATACAAAAGAAAGCTTGATCAGACACACCAACAGAGAAATGTGAAAGAAAGCTAAAACACCAAGTATAGCTAAGACCCTAACACGATAAGAGTTGCCTGACAAGTGGAAACCTTAAACCGGGTCTTGGTAACTGTATTCTTGGGGAATCATGGCCATGAAAGAGGCAGCCTCCTGCTCATCAGGGGCTAAACAGTTGGAACAGGCAATGAACAAAGCCTGCAAAAAAAGGATGATAAGAGTATCGGCCAAAGTCCCCCGGAAAACAACCAAGCCTACTGGCAGGTCACAGCTGACGGGCAAAAAAACAGTACACAGAACGTTGCGATCCATGTGAGTTAACCATACATGCGGTGAAAGCATCTAACAAGTTTGGAGTCAAAACCAGATTTCATGGACTGCATTATCTCTGACATTTCTATTTTGCATTGATCAAGCCAAGATATCACATCTCCACAAGCTCTCCACAAGAAGCTCAGCCGTGCTGCTGCTGATTGAATTGCAATGTTGGAGATTCAACCCGACCAGGGTCTCGCCCAATTTCTTCAGACAAGAAGCGCTCTTGTTCGTCACATCAGAACAACCCGAGAGGGATAGAACTTGCAAGTTGATCTTCTTTGAAGAAGCAAGGGCAGAAATGCTAGAATCGGTGATTGCGCATTTTGAAAGGTCTAGGTCGCTGAGTAACAAGCAGTTCTCCGCAATTGCTGCAAGACTTGCGTCGGTGATCTTCCTGCATCCATCGAGATTCAGCATCTCAAGCGTTTCTCCATGCAACTTAGCCAAGGCGACAACTACTTCATCAGTCAAATTCAAGCAGCCGCTAAGATTCACACTGACAAGCCCTTCCTCTGGCCTCTCAAGAAGAGGGAGGATCCCGGCATCTGTTATTCCATAAAGTCCACTCAGATCCACATGCTGAAGTTGAGGGCACAAGCTCCCCACCATGGCCAGGCTAAGACTACCGAACCCAGGGCAGTTGCGAATGGATAGGGATCGAAGAGATCTGCAAGGAGAGAGCATAGGCACTCCACAAGCTATGCCCTTGATACCCAAGCACTTGACTAGGGTAAGAGACTTCAACTTCTCTCCGCAGTTTGAGAGGGCTCCAACAATCCCTGCTTGGGTAACCCTGTTGCACTCCTCCAATTGCAGGCCCTCAAGTGATGCAGCAGTTTTGGCAAGAGCTACCAGGCCATTATCGGATACTAAACAACACTTGCGGAGGCACATCTGCTTCAGGTTTGCACAACCCCTTCCCATGGCTTCGAGGCTCAGATCTGTCGCTCCCCGGCAAGAAGTAATCGTCAACGATACAAGTTTCTGAAGACCTTGAGCATTGCCCATGACCCAAAATCCTTTCTCGCTCACATTTTGTAGACCGCTGAGAGTTAGATTGGTAATATTCTTTCCATAATGTCCGATGACCGCAATAGAGAAGTCCGTGATATTCAAAGCCTGAAGCTTAACCTTTGTGAGCACCGAAGAAGCCGATGATAACAGACTTGATACTCCATGATCGCCAACAAGAGGACAGTCCCTGATAGATACAGACTGCAGCTTGGAGCACAACTTTCCAATAGCTTGCAATCCCTCGTTACCGATCTTTGAGCACGATTCAACACTCAAAGCTGTCAAATTAGGACAACTCTCAGCAATTGCAATCAAACCCTTGTTGGAAATTGAAGGGCAGTGGCAAAGATCAAGCTTCTCCAACAAAGGGCATCCTTTAGCAATCTCAAATAGACCTTCATCCCCAACAAAGGGGACATTCCACAAAGAAAGAGCCTTCAGGGAAGGACAACCTCGGGAAATGGCTGAGAGACCAAGGTTGGTAACTCCACGGATCGAGTTACTTCCTCGGATTGACAACTTTCCAAGTCCTCCACGGCTACTGGTTCCAATCGAAATAGCAGCAAGACGAATATCGGTAGCTTTCTTCCCCTCCAGAGATCTCGTAAGATATCCATCATCTCCATTAAGTTCCTGATCTTGATCAAAAGCCACCATTTCAACATCACCAGATGATACCAATTCATTCTCCGACTTTGAGGGCATCTCGGTTCTGCGGATACTGCTCATCAACATAAGCCATCTCTTTGAAACACAAGCGCTAGAGATCCGCTCTTTACCGCCTTGAACATGTCTGAGGATCTCAAAAAGGCACTCATCGGGTAAAACATCAATGGATGGTTTCTCAGCCTGCTCGAAGAAGCTTCCCTCGAGAGCGAATGGGGCGCTGATCCGAGCCCGCTTGCTAGGGGGGCAATATAGATCAACATGGGAAGCAATTGAATAAGGGGAACAGGAACCCCCAGAGTAAAATTCATCATCACCTGAAACCCAATACACAATCTACCATAAGCCACAACTCTCAAAATAAATTTGGCCTAAATCTATTCACAACACTAACATATATATATATATATATATACATATATTTACAATGCTTTCCAGAATTATCATAGCATCTTAAGCACAAAGACCCAGTCTTTCCAACAACAAAAAAAAAAAATCTCCAACAAAACAAATAAAGACACAAGAAAAATCAAAATAAACTGTTAAGCCAAAGAATTTGATCCATAACCAGGCATTCTATACTTGAAAAAAATTCCCATCAAATATTGCAATTTCAAACTATTCAAAGAAGCATTAGAATGGGCAAATATGAATCATATAATATGTATATGTGTATATATATATCAACAAATACACCGACCCATTATAGCAAATTCAAAATAAACGAAAACCCATAAAAAGAAACAAAAATAAAAAACCCAAAGAACGAAAACCCAGAAACATACCACTGTAATTAACAAGAGTAGGCATGAGCGCAGACGAAATAGCACAGCCCAGAAAGAGAATCCAAACCCTCCTCCAGCGAGAGCAAAAAGAAGAAGACTCGAAGAATCCAAAAAAGTTGCAGCACTGAAACAGATCAGAATCCAAAGAAAGCGCAAGAGCATTTGCTGAAGGAAACCCCAAAGAGTAGGGCAAAAAAAAAAAAAAAAAAAAAGAGATGAAAAGGTTTTTATTTTTTGTGATTTTAGGATTTGCTTGTTCAAATGGGTAATGGAATGGGAAATGAATGTAGCAGCGGAGAAAAAGCTTCTTATATTGGGAAATGGGAAAAACAAAAGATGTCGTTTTCAAAATGCAAAAAATGGGTGAGAGTGGCTTTTGGTACATGCATTGTATCCTTCCTCAAAACCAGTTATTCTTCTCCCCCCACACTACGAGTCCAAGTCTAACCACCACCTAAGCAAATACCGGAAACCGGGTACTATATAAACCTTTTTCAGAAAATATATATATACGCATATATAAAATATGTGTATTATATTTTAATATCCCCACATAACAAAAAGGCAAAAAAAAAAAGAAGGAGAAAATACAATTTTGGCTTGTTGATGATTCTATGTGCATGAACTTGTATGTATGTGTGATATGGTACAATTGATTTTGACCAACATAACCAAGATGGAAAAAGGAAAGATGGCTTGTTGATGATTTATATGCATGAACTAGCATGTATATATGTGTGATAAGATACATTTCATTAACTACTATGTGTGTGTTGATGATATTAATAGCCCTCAAGTAAAAAGAAAAAAAAAAAGAAAATTGGCCTGTTGATGATTTATATATGTATGTATCATATGGCATGTGTTGATAATTTTAATGGCCCTATTAGGTATGAAGCCAGAAATTCATTCAAAGAAGCTAGTATAGAGTTAAAATTTAAGATTAAATTATTAACGTAATAAATATTGAAATTTTGACCCTACTAGTAAAAACATTTGTTTTGACATCCCCGTGTAAGCAAAAAAGGAAAAAGAAAATAGAAAAAGAAAAATTTGTCTTGTTGATGATTTTATGTGCATGAACTTGTTTGTATGTATAACATTGCACATTTGATTTTGACCGACATAACCAAGAAGGAAAAAAGAAAGTTGGCTTTCTTGATGATTATGTACATGAACTAGTATGTATGTGTAACATGGTATGTGTTAATGATATTAAAACCCCATGTAACAAAAAAATAAAAAAAAAGGCTTATTGATTAATGTCTATGCATGAACTAGTGGCCTAGTATGTACGTATGATGTGGTACATTTGACCAACCATTTTCATTTTATTTTTTTTTTCACAAGGAGTTCTAATTTGGAGGCTTTTGTGCCCTATTGCATACTTATCAATATGATGAACGTATCTAAAATTCTAAATGTCTAATTATAAACGTAAAAAATGTAAATTTCCAAGACATTCATAATTTTGATTTGGATGCACTTATCAATTAGACATTCACAATGGTTTTTTTTTTTTTTTTCGACTTAACCAAAAAAATGTTTTTATTTTTAAAATTGAGCTTTTGGTTAGGTTGGTTACACGGCCAACATTCACCAATTGATAAAAATGTTGGGATCACGATCTTTCACGTTTCATCATTTGAAAAGTTTGGACATCAGTGAGATTCATGCATGTGTTGATGTATTATCTCTTAGCAATAGAAATATTTATGGAAAAGTTATATAGAATCAACTTTCCACATATTACACCAACTTAACAAATACGGCACAAAATTTTTGTCCCAGAGGCCAAAATCTAACAATAATTGTAATGATTAAAGCACACTATCAAAAGCTAAAAAAATATTTTCTCTTTCATCAAAAAACAATTGAGCAAGCTGGAATAGTTGGCCTTTTTTTCCCCCTATTTGATTAATTTGCAAATGGGTTATCTTGCGCAACTTGATTTTGTTTATGAAAGTATGATAATGGCACTAAAGATTGGAGGTATTACTCTTGAACTTTGAGATGAGACGAGACTATTGTACAATCTATAATTTTAGACTATACAGCCGCTTTTTTTTTTTTTTTTTTTTTTTTTTTTTTTTTTTTGAAAAAAAGGGGTTTGGTTAAATTCTTTAGCCAAAAAAGAATGATGATTAAATTGATATGAGTCATCCTAGGTCTGTTTGCTTCATGGTTTTAAACTAGTGGTTTTAATTTTAACTTTTGAAATTCAAATTTTTATACAAAAAAAATACTATAGCATAATTAAAAATTGTAGTTTGAATCACGCAGAACTCTCGAAACAAACGCATCCTAAAACTTTTAAAAAAATTTTAAGTTTTCATTTCCTGTCAAAATTGCTATTTTAATTTTTGAATGACATATTTATAAATGCCCACATTAATTAAAAATTTACAATATACAATACAAACTTACTCTCATAAATCCTAACAATATTTTTAGTGTTCTTTGTTTTTTCAAGCCATCAAATTTAATCAAAATCACATCATATTAAAAAATATATACATAATAAACAAATTTTAATATAAATTTAAAAGTTAAAAAATAAAAAATACCAGTATTCTTTAAAGAAAATCCATCCTAAAGAAAAGATAATTTAAAACGTACATAATCTTCAACGAGCCAGATTAAATTAGATATATATTATTTAGTGGCTAAAACCAAGCTGTACGGTGCATATGGTCGTAGCGTAGTTACTTCAACTTTTTTCTACTAAAGATGGATGAATTGTACTTGGGCATTGCTAAAAAAGTACATGGTGGTACGCTTTTTAGCTAATAAGACAGAAGAGCACTTAGGATTTGGAATTCCAGCCACATGATTAGCTGCTTTTAAATCTCCTTTTCCAAATCAAAACCATTGCTTAACAAACCACAACATTATGCTTAATCCGGAATTAGGGGTGTTAATAAAGTGAATACAAACTTTAATATAATAGTAAATGACTACTAATACAAAGATATTTAATCACGGACAAAATATGAATCTATCTGTGAAACTAAACAAGAAAGAAGAAAAACAAAAGAGAATGATATTCGAGTTAGAGAAAAAACTGCTTGAAATGGTTTTTAACCATTATGATTTTGACACGTATAAGAATTTCTTTAATTGTGAATGTCTATTCATTTTTTTTTTCCTTTAAAATAAAATGGGTGTCTAATCACTTTAGGAGTGAAAAGGTTAGAGACTAGAAGCTTCATAATTGTCATTATCCACTAATTTTTTCGTTATCAACATCATCATCTAATTTTTTTGCTCTTGAATGGATAGGGTATTCACATTTCATGTTGCAATCACTACTATTGTATTTTGCTGGAATATTTTGCAATTATTACGCAAACCAACAAAGGTTTTTGTATTTTTTACCCATGGTTTTTCTTCCTAGATTTTTTACAAAACTGAAATTATAAAACTTACCCAAGAAAAATATCCTCTTTAAGTGCTAATCATTGCCTTTAATATTATTATTTTTTATAAAAGATTTCATCAAATCATGGCACGACTACTTCAAGTGATGGGAGCACGGTTAGGGCTAACACATGGAACCAAGATCCACTTCAAGTTCTAAGCAGTCACAAGAGTTCGGGCTAAACGTTTCAATAAGACACTTAATGGATTAATCCAAGAGGTTCAGAAAAGAGAAGCATTTGTGGTCACTACTGATGGTGAGCCAAGATTGGTCCAAGTCATCAAAGCGATTCCAGATAAGGACCATTAGGAGTTGGCGTGTGCACTGTTCATGTGTTACTGTTCATGTATTATCTATTCACCAAGTCATGAGGATCAAGATCAATAATTTGATAGTTATCTTAGTCACTATTTAATAGTTATCCTTAGTTTCTTTTTAAATTCAGAGTTTGTTTAGAAGTTAAATAAGGTATGTTTATCTAGAATGATAAATTTCTTTTCTTTTAGGATAGAGTTTGACAAAAATTCAAATTTACGTAATTCAACCTATTAAATAGGCGTGTTCAAGAGTCAATAGACAGATGGATTTTTTTTTTCAGCAAAAGTTTGAGCATTCTCTTTCATTCTTTAAGAACTTATTGAACTTATCGGATTCTCCGTGGCGTTTGTTCTTAACTTATCAATCAATTCTTCCATCATTGATTATGGTGTCTTCACTATACCAAGGTTCTTGCTTCCATATAAGCAACAGATCGAGATTTTCACTCTAGCCTGATTTTAGATCGATCTTGAAGACTTTCTTGATTTGAGTTTCACTAGTTTCTTGGCGGGGTTCATAGCAGTTTGTATCAGAGCATAGGCTCTAGTCTTGGGTTTGCCTATCCTTTTGAACCGGGAATCGTTACGGGGCTCATAATATGTCAAATCGAAGCTCTTTCCGAACCCTACGATCTTCAACATGGTGAACCCATCAACTGCATTTTTTGGGCCTTAATTCACACGTTTTCTTGAGTTTCGGAGGCTTTTAAGTTTTTTTAGGCTATCTTGAGAGCAAGAATAGTAAAAAATAGAGATTCTTGATAAGTTCTTGGTGAATTATTTCGGGGATTTTGATTCTTGTTTGATTAGTTTGCAAAGAATCCATAGAGAATTAAATAGAGCAAAAAAAAAATGAGGGTTGAGTGATTCACATTCTTGAGTGAAACACGTGAGGGAGTGTTGTGAGGTCCCATTGTTTCTTTTTTTTTTTTTTCCCAAACTTGTTTTGCAACCGCTATGTCCAACATGAAGGAGAAGAACACTTATGAGGAAGCATTAGGGGAGTTTGATCCTAAACTTGTCATTGATGAGGGAAGAGTTGGAGATAGTTCATGAACGAATAAATCGGATGGAGAATGCACGTGTGGAGCAGCCACAAAACGCCCCTAATGTGCGTAGGCGGGAAAGAGGTCAACCGAGGGAAGTGAGGGTTGAAGATGAAGAATATTATGGGGTCGGTTTTGATGAAGAAGATGATCGGGATTCAATTGCTAATTATAGGAGATATGGTGGGAGGCATAGAGAAGCTAGGAACCGGGAAGATAATAATTTGGGAAGTATTAAGATCAAAATTCTGTCATTCTAAGGCAAGAATGATCTCGAAGCTTACCTAGAGTGGGAGAAGAAGATAGAGTGGGTGTTCGAGTGCCACAACTACTTTGAGCTTAAGAAGGTAAAGCTTGCTGCCATTAAATTTTCCTAGTATGCAATTGTATGATGGGATCAATTGATGTAGAATATAAGAAGAAAAAGAGAGCCGCCAATTGAGACATGGGAAGAGATGAAAACGGTGATGAGAAGGCGATTTGT